TAGAGTGTGAATAAACTGAATACTTTATTTCTGAAGAAAATATTTGAATACATAAAATGTGTCTATAATATAAAATAGAGCAATAAAACACACATATAAACTCCCACTAAACTAAAATATCGTTAAATAATATAACACCTATATGAGTAGTGTACTCATGAAAGACTTTCAGTATTAATCTTTTATTAAGCGGATCTACAATTATGGAGTTTGTTTTAATATGTTCTATAGAAATATGTCCACTCTGTACCCTTTCTTTAACAATTAAAATTTTTATGTCAATATGTTTTCACCGAATCGAACTCCTATTGTCGCTGGATTAGTTGACTTATTATCACAATATAACTTTAGTATTTTTTTCAATATCACTTAAGAAGCACAAATTTGTGATAAAATTTTGTAGCCATAATCCATGGTTGGATGCCTCATAACTTGCTATAAATTCAGTTACCATGGTGAAAGAAACTATAAATATTTGTTTAACACTTTTATAGGAAATAGCTCATCCAACCAAAATATAAATGTAGCTTGAAGTGGATCTCTTACTACCTTGACATCTAACATAGTCATAATCTAAATACCTAATGATCTCTAAATGATCTGACCTTTTATATGTGAGCATATAACTTTTAATTCTCTGTAAGTATCTCATAATATTTTTGACTGTTTTTCAGTGACCCATCCTAGGGTTATTTAAAATCGACCTAGCATTCCAATAATGAATGTTATATCTCGATGTGTGCAAAACCGAATATACATTAGACTCCCAACTGTCAAACATAGGAAATCTTCTACATTTTTTTTTTAAATTTTAAGGTCATTGTTAGGGCACTGATTGAGACTGAATTAATTTCCCTAAGTGATAGGGATATTTCTTGATTTACAATCTTACATACCATATCTTTTAAGTATTTTGTTTCTATATAGCTCTTTTGAGATAATCCAAGAATACTTTGAGATTGATTTTGATATATCTGAATTCCTAAAACAAAAGAAGTCTCATCAAGATCTTTTATCTCAAAATTCTTTTGTAGAAATTTATTGGTCTCATACAATATTTCCTTACCATTGGCAATAAGGAGTATGTTATTAACATATAAAACCAAAAATATATATCTACTCCTACTGAACTTGTGATATACACAATCTTTAACAATATTTATCTCAAAACCAAATGAGACAATTACTTGATGAAATTTATGGTACCATTGATGAAAAGCTTATTTGAGTCCATAAATGGATTTTTTTAATTTATAAATCATTTTCTTTAGGTCACTAGACAGTTTTCTAGTTGCACCGTATAGATTGTTCATCAATGTCACCAGTGAGAATCATTATCTTAACATTCATATAATGTAACTTAAGATTAAAATATGCAACAAGAGTCATGATTGTCCTATAAGAGTCTTTCGATGAAACCGAAGA